ACTGGAAGAAACCACATCTTTGTATCTCAGAAAAGAATGTGTGTAGTCTAACAGGCAGGGTAAGCAGCCCTCCATAGTGCTTGCATCCAGCCTCATCTGCAGGCGCTTGTGGGACACTAACAGCCCTGAGCTTCCCGAGCAGGAAGCAGGGCAGGAGGCCAAAGGCTGGTTTATGTCACTTTAAATGTACCCATTGACAAGTCTAGCTGTTTGAGTGTTTGCATTGAGTTTAATTCAAACAGTAAAACAGGTTTTGTGCCTTTTCAGGACATGCACAGATACTTTGTCCTATTGCAGATGGAGCTGCTGGAGTACTGTTAGGGCAATGTTTTATGCTAAAATTTATCAACTATTTTTAGTTCTACTATTTCAGTTTGAAGATGTTGCACTTAATAGCGAACGTCTAACAGCCCACGTTTCCCCTTCAGTGCTGTGCAAATTCGTTACTAATACGCTCCTTAATTTCTTTTTCTTGAATAAACTACTTCCAACTAATTTAGCACCGACTAAAACCTTTTGGTGGTTTAAAATTTGGGATGGGAAAAAACCTAAACACCTAGCAACAGCTTTGTAATGACCATGGAAAATAAGGCAACCTCTTCTGAAAAAAAATTACAGAGATGTAGGCCAGTCCCTGTAGCAAAACTGACTTCAGAGCAGTGTGTACATACAGAGAGGATGAGCAAAAACACATCCATGTGCAAACGAAGAATATTTGTTTGTGCACGTACAAAGAGGCTATTGATTTCACAGCTGTACACTCTGACTTATAGAAAAAAAAAGAAAAGTGAAACAGCGGAGTAAGTACGTGAATTTGTGTAGCCTATTTCCATAGACCTTCATAAAAATCTTTCCTCGTGGTTTTCCAATTAGTGAACAGTGACTTTGTTACTGTCCCTCAGTGACACTAGATGGCACTTCAGAGTAGTGGTGGGATCAGAAAGCCTTTTATAATCTTTTCTAGTTATTTTGCATATGATATCACAGGTACATGAAATTAATGCTTGCATCGAACAAAAGCAATTTCTCAGCTTTCTGCTAATTTGTGTGCATGCCTGTGAGGTAGATAATACTATCTGTTTTTAAAAAGTAACAAACATAAACAGAAAGAGATTATAAAAGAGTGGTTCACTACTAGGTCAAAAAAACAAGTTATGGGCCAAAGAGCTGTTGCCAGACATTGTGTTTAGAGGATTTGAGAAGCATTTTATGGAGCGAACTGAAAAAAATCTTTAGGTCTGGAAACCAGAGCAACACATTGATGCTAAGGATTTAAGAGTTGATCCTTGCTTGGAAATGAAATTAGGTTTGATGTCATTTATACATCAGCAATCAAGTCTATGATGACTGTCCATAACCTGGTGCAGGAGAAACCAACCAGCTCCCCTTTGGTCTTTAAAAACAAGCATACATGAAGGGGTTAATTGATTTGTAGTAAAGTCTTGAAAAATAACATCCATTAGCAATATATGGTTTTGCTATCAAAAAAATGTGTATGTGCTTTTAGAAAGCTTAAACCTAAGGGATATAATTAATTAAAAAAAAAAAAAAAAAAAGTGGGAAGGATACTACAAAAGCCAAAGAATAAGTTTACAGTATTGCCATCAAACCACAGTAAAAACTTAAACCAGTGTCATTTCTTCAAGATATCATTTTCATTTCCAACTTAGTTGGTCAATTCAGTAGGGAACAGAAGGGACTATTTTCTTTATTTAAAACCCTTTTATAGGGATTTCAATTAACACTTTTACAAGATCCATGACTAGGGGAAAAATGACCAAAAAGTAGCAGAAAATATTGACTATAATTCTGAAAAGCTCTTTAAATAGTAAAGTCCAGGCCTTTGCTCAGGCATGTTCCTAGGTAGTGTGATGAATCATAGGCATTATTAATTTAAGATGGCAGAAAATACATCATTGTCTCTTAATTTTATTATTCTGTCTTTATCACAAAAAGATAGAATTTAAAAAATATTATTAGAAAAATGGTTTAAAATCCAAGCGAGTGTTATTATTTTAGTTTGGATTTTTTATAATTATATATTTGGTGGAAGAAATAAGAAGCCTCTGTGTGTCAGTTAAATTCTTCCATCATTCTTGCAGCTGAGGATCTGTCACTACACCTTTTTATTCTTGTATCTCTTGTTTCCAGCAGCTTGAATTTTCCAATTATTGTTATTATATGTTTTGTTTCAGGCTCCTTAGGAGAGTCTATTCTCATACCTGAGAGATGGTCACATCCTGGCCTATAGTGACCCCTCTGTGGCCTAGGGATGCAAGGAGGGATAAGATGCCTTGGCCTGCACCAGGAAACAAGGGGGGTTTCCTTTATGTGTTTGAGTCCTACAGTTGTGACTGTTTACCATCTTCATACTTTATGGAGGGATCGGAGATGCACTGTTCAGCCTAAAGGCTTTCTACTTTAGTTCTCATTTCTTTCCGCCCAACTGTTTATAGTTTGTTTGCATTTATCCTTATTTTTCCTTTTTTTTTTTGTTTGTTTGTTTTTAAGTGGAAGAACCATCTGTTCTGTATTTATATGAAAAGCAGTTTTAAAAGTATCAGGCTTCCCGCTGCTTTGAAGTCTTTGTAGATGCTGTGTGTGGAGAGGGTCCCATCAGTCAGACATTGTAGGTTTGGCTGCACAATTTATGGAAAACCAACAGTGTGTTTACCTTTTGAATTTGTCATGATCTTGCTGAGGTCTCATGTTATAGTATTTGCTTATTCTGCTTTATTGCACAGGACTGGGAATCAGGAAAGCCCTGTTAGCTTTGCAGCCATTAGTTGTTAACAGAGAATGTATTTTATGAGGAATAGCTTGTGCTTTAGCACAGAGGGCAGCAAGCTTGGTATGGGACATACCATGAATATAACAGAGGAGGAACAGGCTCAGATATTTTATTCTGGACTTGTTGTTTCTGGTTTGAAAGAAAAGCCTTAGTATGGAGAGATTTTAAAGCCATGGAGGGAGAAATGGGATGTTTGTGTATATGTTTATATGAAGTTTTATGTAGTAAGTAATTGTTATTATTTATTGTATAAATCTCTTCCTGTTAGTTGTATCTGTATCTGCTAATTTGAACCGTGTACATGCAAAACCTGTGGAGTTGTTCAAGCTAAGACAATGCCTTTGTTTTCTATTGAACTGTCAGTGCTTAGCTTTCTGCATGAGGTCTCTCTCTGAATTACAGCAGATATCCAACCAAGAACCAAAAGGAAAAAATCTAACTGCTGGTTTTCTGGAGCGTTTTCCCTCCAGTGACAGAGGGATTTCATGTACTGTTAGTTTTGTTTAAAAATAACACTCAGAAAATGTGAAACCCAGAAGAAAAATAAACAGATGCAAATGAGGGAAATCACTGGCTACTATATGAAGAAGATAGCTAACAAGTGCAAAAATTATTTTTCTGTGTAATGACTTTAGCGATGGAGAATCATTTCCAATTATTTACTAAGTGAATAAATGACAGTTATAAAAAGAATATTTTAATTTTCTAGAAAAAATACCTATGAGTGTTAGGCATGAAAAAGTTTCTTGAGGCAAGAGAATTTCACACAACTCGCTCTTACTTCAGCTATCACCATGCCAAAGATGTTTCCTTTTCAAGACTTAATCATAATTAAAGTTCTGACACACTATATTATGCTATCAAAACAGAAAATAAAGACAAACACTTTGGAGTTTGCCTGTATTACATTATTCTTTAATATAAATGACATATAAGTTTTACAAATTAGAGAGATTGACCTTGGAGTATTAAGAGGCTGCAGAAGATTCTTTTAAGGTGACATTTTATTGAGTATATGTTTAGCTTTGTAGATTGACAGTAGAAACGTGCAGCCTACCTTTGATGTGCTTGCTACCCACTGGGATGGGTTGAAGAATCCCAGTTTGCAGAGGGCTTCAAATCACTCTAAGAAGGTACTTCTATGAATGATGTCCCAGCAATGTCCAGCTAGGCCTTGCAGTTATTTCACTTCATATTTTTCTATACTTATGATTTTGCTTATAATCTAAATTTCACAAATTCATCAGATGGGGAGCCTGCATATCTCTACTTGACAATTAAAAAAACATTGTTTAAAAAACAAAAAAAAGTAAAGGATGCTGACAAATGTACGATGCAGAACAAGTGAACAGTGAACTGCTATTATTTTTGGTTTAGATATATACATGGACTGATACCAATGACTAAACCCTAATACCATACTCTGCAAGGCAGTCTCACTGAAGTCATTAAAACTGCTCTTGTGACTAAGGTGAGAGGGATTTGTCCTTGAGAAATTCAGTCACTGAGCTCCAGACATAGGTTACAGGTTTTGTACTGCAGACTACTCATTATTTTGTTCAATAAGATTATGTTAGGCTAATCCTGAATAGCATTGCTCTAGAAGAATGGCAAACTTTAAAGAACTATGTGTACAATAAGATTTTTTTTCCCCAAAAATAATGACATTAGCAACAACTTTATTTGCCTCTGCTAAATAGATACATTCAGAATTAGTTTAGTGTTATAGTGGATATTTTTAAACCTCCAGGGCTTGAAATAAATTTAAAGGAGGTAACTCTCATCTTCTCAAGTCTCAAGATGATTTGAGAGTCTTTTTTCCCTCTACTTTTTTTTTTTTGTGGCTATAAAAATAACCTCAATCACTATCCTTTTTTTTTTTAATATCATAGCTTGACAAATATTTACTCCGAATCTCATATACAGTGGAATCTGAAAACCTGTAGCATTCAGCAAACTGAAAATTACCACAGAAAGCATGCTGGAAAAGAAGGCTGAAATAAGTCAGTTTAAAGCACAGTTGGCAATTCTTTTTGATGGTATGCTTGACCTTGTACATCTGTAATGATTCATTTATTCTACATCAATGGATCATCTCCACTTTAAAATGAAGTTTCTGGTATTTGGCATTATTAGCAACGATTTTTTGAACAGGCCTATTACAACAAGTACTTTAGCTGAAACACAACCGAACCCCGTCTTTAGACATCTATTTGTAATTTCCAATCTGTACTGCAGAACGTTCATGGATACATCGGAAAGCAGAGGGCTGGATTTCCCAGTACTGCACAGGGTTGCTGAAGAGACTCACACCGGAATAGCTAGCCTTTTTGGTGTTGTAGCCAAGAGGGCAAAAGTCGTTGATACCAACTGAAGCAATTTTGTTGTTATGAAGATAGACCACCTGGAAAGCACAGAAGTACAGAAGTGAGACATAGAGCTACCATGGCAAATAAGATAAATAATTTGATGTCAAATATTATGCAATGTTATACAGAGTAACAATATATCCCTTTTTCCAAACAAATGCTTGATCCTGCTTACCTTTTGAAATACCTAGAGTACACTCAATTAGAAATAATTTCTACAGAAAAAGCAGAAACTGTGCAAGGCAATCTAATAACATTACTATCATTTGCTCATACTGTAACCAAAACAGGAGTCAAAGATGGGACATTATTAATACAGTGCTGTGGTTCAGAAGCATGTGCTGTATATAAAGAATGTATTTGATGCTAATTGGTGTCTCTCCAGCTCCAATGCTTTCACTCTCATGAGTGCAACTGTGCAGGACTCAGAGACAAAGTAATCATCACCAATGATGATATAAAATAGCTGATGAATATTACTTTGCTCCAGAGTTACCAGTTCTGATGAATTCTCCCAATCTACATGCAAGTGGTGATTTACATTTGGGAGTCTTCATTCTCTGGGAGCTTTCTTTCCTGTAAAACCTTAGACCAAGTGAAGACAGATTTTAATTGGTTTCAAGAGGCCATATTTCTAGCTATCCAGCCACACAGACCTCAGAAATACTGCTGATGTGAAATGCATATTGCACCTCTTTGTCCTCCTGAAGGAACAGCTTTGTGAGATACCAAAGGGAAAGTTCTTGGGAAAGGTTGCAAAATGTCACTGAGTAGAATGCAAAAAAAAAATAAAAAATCAATAGAAGAAATGTTCTTTGAAAGCATTTTTTGAGTAAAAAGGAAATCAAAGTACACAAATAATCCCATCTTTGTTGCATCTCCTCAGGCACACAGAGATAAAAAATGCAACTTTTCCATGCCTATTCAACAGTTTACGCAACTTGCATCAAACTACCTTTTGCACAAATACTGTATATGTTTCTTTTCAAGACTAAATAACCACACAAACACAATTCAGAATCTTTCAACTATTGCTATCTGAGGCAGTATGATAAGCTTTACCTGGATATATTTGTGGTCACCCAGCCCACCAGGTACTCTGACAAGTTCATTGTTGTTCAAATGGAGCTCTCTCAGATGAGGTACATTGTTAAGAGAGCCATTTTCAACTGAAGAAATACTGTTGAAGCTGAGACCCAGTCTGAAAAAAACAAATATGTTAGACTTGCCCATATAACCATCTTTCTTGGGTTGATTACTCCTCTACACTACTGTTGTAGATCAGACCAGGCTAATTTTCAGAATTATGCATGAGGTACAGAGAACTAGATTAGTTAAACATATTTAAAAGTTTGACATCTGATGTGAACTATCATAATTATCATGATATCATTCAATTTGTGCCCATGGTACTGCATACTTTCATGAGCTATATGACCAGTCTCATTGTGAATACATACTGTGTACCTCCATAGGCACCAGTCTTTCTTTAAAAGCTGAGTAAGTTTCTTGCATGACTTTAGGAGCACCGGTTGTAACTTTCTTTGGGGAACTACATAACCCACAGTCACCAGAACTGTTAAGTTTAAATCTTAACCATATCCTTCTAAGATACTTGCGTAGTTAGAGCCATGTTACAGACTGGAAACAAGAGCTGAGGGACGTACGCATTTTTCCTAGGTTCCAGTCCAGTCCAGAGCTTTCATCACAAAATCATCCTTCCTGCATTATACATCCACAATATGGGTGTACTAGCACAATTTATGTCTGATTTGGAAAATCTGGTCCTATCTATGTATTTCTGTGTTAATACTATTTTGCTTTGCGATCACCAATCTACCGAATTTTTTCAAGAGATTCTCATAAGTTACAATGTGCTGTGTTGCAGTAAGGAATTCAGTGGTGATTCTTCAGGAGTTATCATTAGGAGCGTTGTCCTTTGAGAAATTATTTCTATGAAGACTAAACCTCCTTTATCTAGTTTGCTTTATTGTTTTTCTTCAAGCACTTTTTTTAATTTTGAGGAGAAAATGCTCTGACATTTATTAATAACTGAATCAATTAAAGAATTTAATATAGGTAATCAGAATCCTTGTAATAAAAGAATTTTCTATGGATGAGTACTTTTTAAAGAAAGCCTTATTCACAGTAATCTACTACCTGTAATTCTTTGTGGCTTGTGCCAGCTTCAAAAGTCAGAATCTGGACCTATTATAAAATCACAGAACTAAAAATTCTTGTTTGATCTTTATGGCAGAGATGTTTCCAGAAATAATGCTCTCCAGGAATGGAAGCACATTTTATGACTTTTCTTTCAAAAAGAAACAGCCACATAAAGATTTTGTTAACTAGTATTATGTATAATACGAATAGTTGCACCATTATAATTTAAATATTGCAATGTTGTCAAACTATTAAAAGAGAGAGGAGAGCTTAATGCCATCTCCCACTGACATCAACAGGGATTTATTTCACTCAGAAATCAGTTCACAGTATCCCATATCTTTGCTAGAATTTGGACAGGAACAAGTTTCATTTAAAAGTTATTAGAACAAAATTCCTTTTGAATAGAGTACTTCAAGATTTAGGGAAGCTTGGAGGATTTGTTCCTAAAAAGCAATTTGGTCTGAAGACCTACACAATGTCTACAAAGGACTTCAGTGATGTGTGCTCATAGTGAATGTCTTTGAAATGATTAGAAGAAACAAAACAAAACAAAACAAAAATGTTTTGGCAGAAGGTTGTAAGTTCTTGGTTGACACATATCTAAATATGTGCTCGCTACATATTCAGGTCTACAAGCAGATGTGTCACACCTAGGAAGACCAGCATGAAAAAAATGTTGGTCTGACTTTCATACTGGTCTGTTGAAGCAAAAGTAACCCCTTTACACACCACAGGGATGGACGAGGTCCAACTCTGCATTAGCTCATGCAGTGAAAGTCTTTTAGGGAAAGTCTTTTAGGGAAAAAATAAAATTGGAGGAGTCTGTAGAAAAGTGGATCTAACTCCCACAAGCAGTGAAATTATATGTAATTACATCTCATCTAAATGTGTTACAAACAAACTCTCAGCCACTCGGGGCTATGTTTACAAATGAAAGAAGTCAATATTAGTGTGTAAAATACAGGGTGATTAAGACTGTTAGGAAAGAATACGGTCTTCATCTCTTTTCTTTTTCCCATGGGAAAAAAAAAAAAAAAGGAAGAATTTGAAAAATCGCTCTTGCTTAATATATCCACATATTACTTCATTTTATATTAGTGAATAGGTAACATTCTTCCAGTGTTTTAGCTGATCTAATCACAGTGTTCTAAATCATTGAAGAGCATCATCAAAAACATATCTAAAAATTAAAGAAAATCTCAAATATTTTTTCACCTTCTTTCATTTCCAACACCCCTGCTGGCCCATTTCCACTTTTTTTAAACAAACTTCATGCTGCTCAACATCATCATTATTCTGGGCTTGATGCAACTTCCACTGTACGAAGCTAGATCTTCTCAGTAAACTTTAATAGGATATAGACATTAGTAACATTAGTTGTCTAATATGTATATCCTCCTGTGGAGCTCATTCCTGCATATAACCAGCGAAGTCTTTGTTCGTTTTACATTCATGAGATTTTTTTTTTTTTCAACTGCAGGTCTATGTGAAGGCTTTTGAAAGACTTAAGAGTAATTTTACAAGGAAAACAAACAAACAAAAAGGCCAAATATTGGCAGTCTGCTAGAACTCAATAATTCAAAAGAGAATGAGCAGTAGATCCACACCAAGCTGCTGCGTGGAACATTTTACAGTTCAAAACACTTTAACACAGTCAGAAAAATGACCTGTTTCTCAAGGTCTAACTGTGCTTTAGGGAGGCTATTAGACTGTTGAGCATGAGTTGACATGATCCAGAAAGAGAGTGGTCTGACCCTGTGCTGATGATGTTCCTGAAGACTTAGGTGTGTAAATTAAAGCTGGTGTTCAGTAGCTTGTTTCTGCTGCCCCTTAGATTTGTCCCATATGCTGTCCTGGAGCTTTTCTATAGTTCCCTCCCTTCTTCGTCTGTCTGCTCTGTTATGTCCAGTGCGATCCTTTTTTTCCGATCTGTACTTTGCCTTACTTTTCAACTTTGCAAAAGAGGATTTCTGACTATGCTTGGGTTGCCTGCTTAAGCACAGGCCAGAGAGCAGTTTAAAACTTGGTGCCTACTCTGAGCAGCTCCACATTTCCACACCACGATCAACAGAGTATCTTGTTTCTCCATACAGTACAGCCACAACAGAAGCTGGCCAAGGTTAGATATTTTTAGTAGTCCATCAGCACTTGCTGCATAAAACTTTATGCCTTAAGAAGGACTTCCAACAGTATTGTCCAGGTGATGTTGCCTGTAGTGTTTTCCAAGTGCAAATGTGAAAAAGCAGTAAAACTCTGTCATCTGCAGGGCAGCTGACACACCCCACACCTCCCTCCTCGAGTAAAGTAAATTACTCTCAATCTGAGTAGTTATGATCTTGTTTTGGTTTTGGAAGTTTCTTTATAATTGCTCTGGAGGATGTTACATTTTATATGAAGCCTCTATCATAAACGATAACTGCTTCATAGTCCCGAACCTATAATTATGGTATATTTATTTTTTCATTAAAATCCAGGGGCAGATTTTTTTGAGCAGAGATGAATCTGTGATCAAATATGAATATCAAACATGCATTGAAATGTCTTATTTTACAAGCTCTAGAAAGAGGTTCTAAGCTTTGTCACTTGGAATTGCCAGATTTGAAACACATGCTAGATTACTATATATTTCATTGCATTAAATTGCTGTCCAAGCTACTATAAACAGTGGTGAACTTAACTCCTGTTGCTCAGTAATCTTTCTTTGATTTCTGCTTTCTGTCTTCATTATGAAAAGCAGAATGATTAAGATGAAGATCCAGGAATTAGATCCAGTAATCTGATTAACGGTCTTTTAAATCAATTACATTTCTATTTTCATACAAAGTTTTAAAGTATCATAGTATTAAAGTAGCTTGTACTATTTTGTACTAAAGGTCCACTTTACTATTTTAGCATGTTATCTAATTCACAAATAATTCTGTATCTCTGTAACTGCTCTTTGGGAATTCTCCTTACATTTTCCTACAGTTAGAGAAACTCATTCCACAACATATTCACAAATTAGCAAGGTACTATCACTCTGAAAAAATAACACTTTTTCATTTATATTGTATTATTACTTTTTTGTCATGTTCCTGCACTCTTTGCAGACTTGCCTTTCTTGAGACACAAAGGAAACATTGGTGTAAGCAGTTTTGGTTCCCATGTGTTTCTTTCCTCAGTTTCCAGGGCAAATTATATGAGCAATGCAGTGTCCCAAGAAAACTGCATAAACCAAAATTGGAAATACAATGAAAGAAGCATGAAATAATTAAAAAATCTAATTTCTCTCTTTACTTTTTTTTTTTTTTACTCAAAGAAACAGTTGTCCTGGGCATACATCACTCATAATTGAAAACAGCTGGAAAGTGTCATTAGGAAAAAAAAAGTGGTTTGTTCCCTTCAGTACACAAGTTTTTCCTGTTAAGTTATGTACTGCTTCAATGATCATAATACTCATGAAGCCCAGAGTAATGATTTCTAATTGTGTGTGTGTGTGATGGTTACAATTTCAACTAATATTTTATACAAAAACAAGAAATTCATTCTTACTTCGCCAAGTTGGTGAGTCCAGATAGGCCTTCAGCATCAATTCTGCTGATTTTGTTGCCATCAAGGTGAAGTTCAGTAAGGGATGGGGGGAGGCCTGAAAGAGAGAAAAACGTAAATTACTTTTAATAAAACTGGATTGTTATCTTTTTTTTAAAAGGACTTGTGTTATACTGAGGGTCTTTATGGTAATAAAAAGGTTTTTACTGAACATGGCCAAGAACAATTGACTGAATTAATCAAGGAATTTTCACAATCAGGGAACTGAAAACAGCTAGTAACAATTTATTTGGCATGAAATAAGACCAAGCACCTAAGGTTATCATAGAGGAATTAATTCTTAAAAAATAGCTAAATTAAATTCTTCCCAGGTATGAATTCTAGCCTTCATGATTATGTAAACGAGACATAGACAATAGCATAAGAGAAACAGCCTTCATTTTAGCCAGACTATCCACATACATAAATCTACAAACCTTTGGCACCTAGGTATTTAACAAATAACACCAGCAGAAAATGAGATTATAAAAATGAGGTAAAATAATTTTAAAGCTATTTTAGGTCAGGAACATACTAGTTTGCAAATTCTTTTTATCAGGACAAAAAAATTGGGACCAAAAATTTTAACTATCTGAGGTCCCTCAAAGGAACATCCAAAACAGGAAATGTGGGAAGAAAGAAATAACAACTAGCATTAACTTTCAAAATGTCTTCAGCTATTTCAAAACAATCTGCTGGCTGAAGTATGAATACATTGAATATAATTTTCTCTGGATTGGAACCATTCTGTTTGTTTTGTTTTGTTTTTAATAGGTTATGTTGAAGTTGTTCTTATTTTGTAGCAATTTGTAATGAAGTAATTTTAAAAATAGCAAGTGTTTCTGTTTTGTATAGGAATAATATTTTTGGTTTCAAGCCCACAGACTTGTGGAGGACTGCCTTTATGCTTGTAGAACTTGAGTTAATTCTACATGAGTTTACATCTGTGTAATGTTGATCAGGCTCACCAACCAGGGTTGGAGGATGAAAACATTCTTTCACTTTATATTTCAGCTATGAGACAAGAAAAGCAAAATTACATTAAATGGCTTGTTTTTGACAGTGCACCTCTTGTGGAGCTTGTCATAAAAGAAAAAAAAAAAATCCAAACCAATAAAAGTCAACTGACCAAAAAATGAAGTAGTCATGTGATGGATACTCTAAGGACTGACTCAAAAGTCTTCCATACTAATTTTTTTCCCAGCTGACTAGAAGTCTCTATGTTATACCTATGCAAATCTCTGAAATACTAATTTAATTTCTTACCTTTTGGGATGCTAGTAATGTTGGTGTCCGCGATACGGATGTAGGAGAGCCTCTTCATCCCCTGAAAAGCTCCGTTTTCAATGCCTGAACTCTTGATTGGATTGGTGCCTAGTTCTGCCAACAAAACATGGTCATGAGCTGTGCTGCAGTGTAGGTACTTATATCCTTCAGGTCAAAGCTAATTTGGAGGTACAATATATTGGAGCATTTCTTGGCTTTCTACATAAAATCACTGAGTGAACTAAAAACAACATCTTGAAAAAACACTGAGTTGATTTTTTTATAATTTCTCATGCTCCTACCTAAGACAATCACTTGATTCAGTCCATTAAAGACAGATTTCCTCAACTTGGAGATATCATTCTCATGAGCCCGTATCTCCTGAAGAGACTTCGGCATGTTTTCTGGGAGTTCCTTCAGGTTGTTCTTGGACAGGTAAAGTCTTTCCAGTTTCTTCAGAGGTGCGAAAGCTAACGGGCTTATTTTGCTGATTTTGTTGTTAACAAGGATCAATGCCTGTGGAGTAATAATGAAGGAGATCTCAGATGATCACAGGGGAAATTATTTTAACAATAAAACATTTAAAAATTATTGTTCTTTTCTAGTGTCTTTTCATGGCCAATGTAGCGGGCTGAAGAAAATACAATGCAGTACTAAAACAAATAGATTAAGAACTTCTGAAATAGTGAAAGATAAACAAGGCCTACATAATACAAGTGTTATTTCATTGCTGAGGTATATGCAACTTCTGTTAACATCCACAATTTATACGCAAGAATAACTACAACCCTTCTACTTAAAAGCTGTGAAAAACAGACATTCACATAAAACTAACATTATCAGTTTTATTTGCTTTTTTTTCTGATTATGTTTATTCTGATGATACCATCATCACACAACCATTCTAACCAGCTTTTCCTGAACAGAACATTCTATGACTCAGTACAGTGAAGGCACAGCCTCAGCGTGTTAAAAATATACATAGCATCACCCCTTTCCCATTAGTCCTATAGACTGCGCTTAATAGATTTTTGTCTGATAATAACCTCATTTTTGCAGAGATATAAGCTGGTTTTTTGGTAAGCCTAACTTGGTATGGAAGGGGAGCACTTTGAAGCATCATCCTGCAGTTAGGGATCAGGCACCACATTCATTTTGCCTCCTATGTAGGTCCCTAATCTACTTCTCACAACAGTTGTAATATGTAGACCCACAGTATCTCTAAGCAAGTTAGCTCTCTATACAGTCAGGGAAGAGAGGCCTCTATGAAAGCTGTTACCTGTAATAGGTGGTCTCCATATACCTGTGAAATTTTACGTTACTGCTAACTCACTTACTGGTTAACCAAGCATGACATAAAAAGGGAGAAGAAAGTCCCATTACTGTCAGAACAGTAATACAGCTAATGGAAAGGATTTCAGATATGAAATGAATAGAATATCAGAATGAATTTATCATTCCATCTGTTTGCTATCTACCTATCAGACTTGCAGTGCTACATATGTGTGCAGTGAATTAGGAGGAATGGGTTGCATAAATATCGATATAACATCTACTCATATTTATTACTGGAGAATACCTATGGAGCATCTTTGTTCAATAACTCCATTATGCTATTTTCAGAAACAGAATACAACAATTACTGCTAAGCCACAAATTTTTATATTGCATATACTATAGTTAACATTCAGTGCATTTTAATACCATTTTAACATCTTCAGAATTACACTTTAGTCTATTTCTTGGAGAAAAATTGAGCATTCAACTCTTTCCATATCAGTAAGTATTAAAACAGTGCCAAGAAATGTATCAGCATCTGTGACACCACCCTCCATCATGAAAACTGAAAGAGAAGTGAGAAGATAGTTTAAAATGGTACTTGATGTGTGTTTTTTCCCTAATGGACTCCTCTTTCAGATCATCCTGAGCAAAACAGTGTGTTCTGTACATGGTTTCACTGAGTGCACGTAAAGCCAAGCATATCTGGTTTTAATTCTGTATGCTAGCTAGCAATAACGCATTTGCAAGAGGAGGTAGAAAAGGTCACTCACAGTTCAGCAGAGTATTTCCCTAACAATAAGCCTCTCCCAAAATAAATATATTGGTCAGTGAGAGCCATGGCCCCAACTGTCTTTTATTCAAGCCTGAGCTAGAACTGCCATGAGAACACACGGGGTACACACAGGGTCGTGTCTGCCTGCCAGAGTCATCACCGCCAGAATTGTGATACAGATATAGATTCTGCCCATAGTGAAATACAGCTACCTGCGCAATGTTAGGACATGGGAAACAATCCAGTTTTTATGAGGGGTACAGCTTGAGATGCGCAGATGAGCCTCTTTCATAGTTTTATCGTAATAACTGAATAACAAAATGTGCTACTGCAAATTACATTATTTTTCTTTCGTATTTTTACCATGAACTTCTCTTCCATAGATCTCTAAGTCAACATTCAATGATTTTAGACTCATCTTCTCAGCACTTGAACTTTTTATCCTGCATCCTGCTTGGTCAATTATATGAGCTAAAATTCTGCCTTATCTTTTTTCTTTTTTATTTGATTTGTTTTAACTTTGTTGCTTTTTAGATAAAAAATGTTTGGGCTATGATTATCACAGCTAATGATCCGATGTGAAATATTTCTTGCTGGAAATAGATGGGTATACGTTCAGCTAGTCACTGCAATGTAAATACTCTCTGAGTAGTTGATGTTAAGAGGATTGTTACAGCTCTTCAGAAAAGAACTGATAGTCCTGACCAAAACCAGAAATTATCGAGGTATCTAGGATTAGTTTGCTCTGGTTTGCCAATGCTTTCTCCTGGATATGATCATGTTATTGTGGATAAACACACAGAACTGTTGTTTTATTCAAACATTCAGAAAGTCTCTCACTTAGAAATGATGGTATCTATCAAAGGTATGTTTAAAAATACTGATTTCACAGTGGGAATGATGCATGGTGGTATAAGGTGGGAAGGTATCACATGCCTGTAGTTTTCAACTTTTTTTGTACCAGAATATCATTTCCCACTTACACCCCACTCTGCAAGTCCCTGCTCCCACCTTTTTTAACCTGCATCATTTTTCCACAGTGTTGTGCAGCTGTAAAGAAGAAAAAATAAACCCACACATCAGAATTTGCAAGAGAAGTTTTACTGCCTCCCAGAGAAACCGCAAATGATGAGGATAACACACCAGCATAGCACCTGGCAAGCCATACCCCTGGGTTCCTTTCCCACTTCACAATAACTCTATTATATGCATGACTTAAAGAACTAAGTTATTAGCCTTGGAGCAATGCTGTTTACTTTCCTCAGAATGTGCCCCGTATGGTTTGCATGTAACAAAAGTTAAAACAAAATAAAATAAAATGAAAAACTCAGGGGAATTAGAGGTCAGTGAAAACAGGAACTAGAGGAGAAAAACCTAGGGAAAACATCTGCAGGCAGTGTTATTGAGAAAGGGATGTTAGGCAAAAACATGCCACATGGACTAGCTATCCTGAATAAAGCCCAGATGGCATGATGGGGCATTATATTCATCTTGTGTAAAGGACATATAAAAATTTCATACAGGGCAAGAAGTACTTAGAAGGAAAAATAAGGGTCAATCTGAAGGTGCTGAAAATGCTGGAGCCATTGGCCACAGATAGCATTTGCAATGCTGATAGTATGAAAAGATTTGGCAGAAATCTGACTGTCTAAAACAGAGCCACCAGAATTGATACTTTTATTCAAAAATCTATCTTCTCCCGCACTTCCATTTTTAGTGGAGGGAAAAAGATATGTCTTAAAACAAAGGTACTTCCTCCCCCCCCAAAAAAAGAGTGGAAGCATATCACCAATTCACAATACAAAAGGCTGAGCATGCAAATGTACAGCTTTCAGCATGACCTGGTATGAGGGTGAAGATATTTAGCCATAGGTAAGAAAGGAAGCAAGCAAGAAAGAGAAAATAAAGGCATAAATACATCAAGTATTAAAGACATCATTTAGTCAGACTTAGAGGGTTCATAGCAATATCTTATGGATAAGAGAAAAATTAGCTTCCAACCTCATTATCCTGAGATTAAGCTGTTTTTCCCTTGTCATATTTAACATGTAAACTTTGCATGGTGAACACTGACTCTGTTATAATATTGCATTGTGGTAATACCTCCAGACCAGCTTATCATGACCAGCAGTTTGAGTGCTGCTGAGAGAAAAAAAAAATCCAAGCTTTGCTCCAAAGATGGCTTACTTTTTATTGAAAGAGCTCTGGTATTAGTGTAGTCAGAGAAAAAAAAAAAAATCACTGTATGACAGGAATAGGTGCTGGCTCCATTGAAGTCAGTAGAAGTCTGGCCATTTAGCTCCCTCTGGCCTGGTTTCTTCCTCAAATATTTATTCCCCAAACAGAAAGGTGGATTCACAATTCAGGAAAATTTTGGAACACTTATTGGCAGGCTTTTGTCAAAATACACCCTGACAAACTGCAGAGGGAGTGTGTGGCAATCATGTAGGAACTAGAATAGGGTTGTTCTTCTTGGGGTTAGCAAAACCTACAATTTTTGCCCTGTCTGGGGGTGGGGAACAGGGCATTGTATTTTTTGGTGTAATTTCATTATGTCAGAATCTCAGGGGATTGTTCGAAGGGTTTTCATCCCTACTTCTGTTCTTCTTAGTTTAGAATAGTTTGAAGCAAGAGCCTTGACAAAATCAGAAGTGAACTGTACAGTGATCAGCAAATTGTTATCAGCCATAATACATGATGGTACATCTGTTTTGCCAGCTGGGGATGGTGCTCTTACCTAACATCAAACCTTTAATGATGCATGCATCCTTCAGGGTTTAAACTGAAAAGTCAATCCACTGACCCAATGGAATTTCTTTAATTTCCTGGGTTATGTATTACATTATTACCTGGTTTTTATTACAGTTCTGCTAGGAACAGTAATGCCTTAAGAACTGTTAGCTCAGGAGTCAGGCATCCAAATAAAAATAATAATAAATTTTGTCCTTTTTGTTTTCCTTATGTTTTTAGTTGTTAAATCATACTCATAACCTGGACATATAGTCAAGTTTTTCTGCCAAATTATTCAAGGAGGATGTACACTTAGGAAAAAAAAAACAACAAAGAACACAAAAAATATAAAACAGAACCTGACTTTCTTCTCTAATTGTGTTATACCAGGAGACAGAATTCTACAAAACAAGTATTCATTTTAAAATTAGTTTAAAAAATTATTAACATTGGTAAACTTGAAGGAACCAAGAGCCCCTGAATCCATGGAAGTCTCTAAACAGAATTCCAGATTTTATGTCTCCTGAAGGGCTCATGATCTACAGCTAAGGCAGGAAAAGGATAAAGGTATAAAAAACCCACGATCGTGCAATTTCTCTTCATTTGTTGTTACTTAAATTCTTTGGTAAGGTTTGATAGTAACCCTACCAAAGCTAGAATCAAGAGGACATAGCTAAGAAAGGCAAGGGAAAAGGGATGACATAGAAACAACAGGGAAGAGATGAATGAACTGTAAGGGAAGGAGATGGCAAGATGAAACAACAGCCTGCCAGTATAAGCGAAAGGCTGTGGAAAGGGGTTTGATCACATCCACAGTACCGTGCTTTATAACCTCACAAAGCCAAAGATCCTGCTGCAGATCTAGTGTGCTGGGTGTTTGAGCGCTCACTGATAAGGCTTGTGTAACATGCCTTGCCCAGATGACCAGGGAACAGCAGGCTCTACAAAAAAGTAGAGCTCTGGAGTTCTAGAGAATCTTTCAACCCTGTCCTTGTCTACTGATACAAGCATTTTGGTCATTCATTTTATCACAGTTTACTTCTTTATTTTATTGTTGTGTTCCATACAATTTCCTTTCTTCATTAGCTTAGTACGCCAACTCTCTCCAGAATTTTAAGGACCACAAAGTATTTTCTTCTGTTGTTTTCCTCACACACAAAGCTCTTTACCCTCTGCACATTAAAAATGTTTTGCACGCATGTGGAAAACCTCATTGTGTGTTAAGCACAATGCAAAGGAGGGTCTGAGGAAATGACAGCTCTCTAAGGAGTACTGCATTTCAGAAAGATTAACTTCTTTTTTTTCTCAGTATGTTTATTAGAAAACTACAGCTGCACCAAATGGAAATAAAAAATTTTAAAAAGGTATCTCTCAGTCCTGTTAAGAATGTCTGCCATTGATGATAATGGGAATTGAGTTCAGAGGTAGAAACTGGACAGAGATATCTGTCTTTGGTTTTTACGGTGTGCCAGTGATTACTTATTCTTCATTCTGTGATTTGTGGAGGATTATGTTTACTTAACTTCTCTTTTAATTATGCCTGGGAAAATGAGTCTGTATGCCTGCTGTAATGAGTCATCAGAAGACTGCGTTCTTTCATTAATATTTTTTGATCTGTTAGGAGCTTTTCTGTATCCCTGGAAGATGTTCTTAAACTTTTCTTCAGTTAATCTGGGCTCTTGTCCTTTCACAGGGCAATCCTTCCTTCTTTTCATTAATAAAAAGAAAAAAAAGGAATGTATGAAACTTTTCTAATGCAATATGTTATTTTTCCACTTAATATTACTACCAAAGTGTTTCAGTTTGTCCATACATTTAGAGTTGATAATCCCTTAGTGTGGATATGGTCATAACCTTAAGAGCCAAGTTTAATTCTTTTATTTCTTTTGTGCAGGTCTTGTATTTTGATGTAAATACAACTAGTTTTAACACTGTTGTATGCACAACCATGGCTTTGCATAGTTCTGACAGCTTAAATTAAGCAATGTTCCATTTGATTTCAGGCCAACAGAGCATTCATCTTTTTTCAGTGTACTAACACTGTGCCATTCAAAAATTCCTGTTGGAAAAGCACGCAGTCACTATTCTGCTGTTTGTGCTGTTCTTATAGTGATCTAATAGACAGTAGTTTCCTTTACCTCTTTTTCCAAGTGCCAGGCATTATGCTGGTTTGCTTTGGCTTCACCACACAGCATACAACTCCGTGTGCTGTTTTTGTAGACTCCTCCTTCACTTTGCATGAGGGCTTACTCTTGTAGTATTTGGGATTCTTTATTGTGTCCATGGGGTCAAAGTACTGTACGCTATCCAGAAGTGTCAGTCTGCCTGGAAAATTCTGATGGTTTCATAGAAGATTTTTTTCCTGGCTTTTCCAACAGCGCCTCTCTGATTGTTTTGCCACAGGTCTAAATCATAAGCAAGTTTTTTACATAATAACAGACAGTTTTCTGAAACCACAAAACTCAGCCCTGAAAAAAAACTGTCTTCAATTTTTTTCCTATTCTCCCAAGCCCTCTCGTAAAAAATACATCTTATCTTTCATTTTTAAATATCGTGAAGTCTCAGAGTTTTTATAGTACAACATGAATGGTTTAGCCACTTTTTCCTGGATAAATTTGAAACTATAAAAACATGAAGTGCACCAAAACTGTTGACTCTGGTGTTTTCTGGCAGGCTTCTATTATTTGCAGATAAATATTCCCTTAGTTGCATCCTTTTCTAATTACTTGCCATATTTCCACAGCTGCAAATTTCAACTGCTCTTTTACTACTCAGGAAAATTTTCTGAAACAAAGAATATTTTTGTATGTACTAATTTCTCTCTCATTTCTGTTTCCATATGTTGTGCATTCAGGGCATAAACAGTTACATTTGTGCTGAAAGAGAAGCCATAGGCAAGTTATAGACAGATCCTTTCTTTTCTCCTTACTTCATCAGTTTTTTAGTACAAGTTCAACTTTAGGTTCAACCCAACTTGTTCATGAAAATCTCTCCTAAAACTATTACACCTATGGTTGGTGATGTCTATAGGAATTAGGAAGGAATTAAAAAGGAATATTCAAAAGGAATAAGCTGAACATACTCTTCATTTTTTTCAAGATCTATGAAAACTGGTATTTAAGGAATTGTTCCCTTAAGTGACCACTTCATGCAAGAGGTTAACTGCAGTTGCTGATAATTTTAGATTTTCAAAACATAATACTGACAATTTATGTAAATCTTTGTTTTAGTAGAGCATAAGAAGATTTAGTAAAGTCTAAGAAGTCTAGAAACTTTTGAACATCACGTTGTCAAGTGTTACACTAACACAAGCCATGTTTATCAGGGAATACGATTAAAAAGCATATACATTATATATATATATATATATACACACACACACACATATATATATCACATGAAAATTTATATCTCCTTAAAACAAAACTGACAATGGAGCTCTGTCAACAACAAAGCTTTAGCAATATTCCCCTTTCACTATGACTGTGAAGAATTTTTAATTGCAAGATAGAGAATGGAAATCATTCCCAGGTATTACACAAGAAGAAAAATGATGCCTGCTGAGAGCAAAGATGGTGCCTAGTTATATAAATGTACTGCATAACTAAATTATTTTGGGGAGAAGATTGGAGGATTGGTTTTTTGTCCTTGAGTAAAGCCAGGAAAACTGCATTGTTTTGAAGGTTGTTTGCTAAAACTTATGTTACTGTTGTCATTCTTCTCTATGATTTCCATACATCCCTAAGCACGTACTGGGTACTTTTGGGAGTAAAACAAACAAATAATCTCTTCCTTGAAGAGTTACCAACTTAATTCACTATTAAATTGTATCTGCTGTAATGAAAGAAAGAAAAAAATCCATAGAGTTAACCTCAATGAGATGACATAGTTCACAACAGCTTAACTCACAGCAGGATGTGTAACAGACACCTGAGCTGAGTGCCAAGCAGGCAGAAGTGACTGGGGGCAGGGCTTTTCATCTGCAATACCCTGCTCTGACTCATTTCATGCAGTGTCATGAAAAAGGATTTCTAGAAGATTAATTGCACTGACAAGGCTTTCATCCTTTTAAGCACCTTGCAGATGATCTTCACTGGAAACACAGGACTTCTCTCCAAGGTGGAAGAAAAACAAAACAAGTGGGCAGGAATTAGGGTGTTGAATCTGTTCAGTAGCCAAGCAGAGGAATTGAAAAAAAATTCTGGGGCACAAGTCATCTCATTCTAAAACCAAGTCAGATGAAATGTGATGTAGAAGCACCTACATCTCTTTGTTGAAAGTAGAGGTTACCTATGTAGCTAGCTCAAGTATAGACACCTATGCTAAAATTAGATGACATGAACCTCATCATGATTTACTCATGCTCCACTATGGACACCCTCCACTATGGACAGACTGCCATTGTGCATATTCCTAGATTTTTTTAAAACTTTTCTTCTTTATGTTGCATTAAAACAAAAATTTAAGAGGCAGTTTGCAAGTAATTCAGGAGATAAATGCTTATATGATTTGTTTTCCAAGTAAAAGTGGGTGAATGCAGATTATTGTTTGAAACAGTGCTTGTTTGGATGGCGGCATTGACATCATGAATGGACAAAAAGTGGGAGTTGGCTTCTTGGTTGTGAATTAAAACAATAGAATAGAAATAGGCTGTGAAGAGCCAGGAAAGCAAAGCCAAGTAGTTTATATTGATTATAATGAAAAAGGATCAAATGGAACAATGCACAGAATAAAATGAGTTGGTGAAAGGCTAGAAAAATAATATTTTCAGAAATACGCCTGAGCTGGGGTATTACTTTCAAAGGCAGAGAAGTAATAGCCTTTTTCTGATCTGGAAAGAAAGAGGTATTTCAACAAAATTGAGGCAAGACTATGAAGTATGAATTTTAAGATGCTGATGAAAAGTATAGAAATAAGGGAGGAGGACCTCAGACAGAGAAACAAAAATTTGGAAACAGTGGAAGGTAGTTGTCTGATGGAAACTTGGAAAAGAAGAGTTGAATCAGAAAAAAAGGGCAGTCACAGAAACCAGGGAAGGAAAATATTTCGGCAAAGAGGAAAACAGACTGCAGTGTTGGAAGAGACTGGCAGGTAAAGGAGGATGAGGATGGAATTTTGCTAGGAGAAGGTTACTGCAAAGCCACAATTTCATTGTAGTGTAGGGGGCAGAATATTGATTTCAAAGGATTCTTGATCTAAAATTCATACAAAAAAGCTGCTGACAAACATGGTATATACAAATCTCGGTGAGCCTAGAGGTGGGAGGGGAAGGAATACAGTAATAAGTGAGTGAGGTGGCAGGGTTGAGATGGATCTGGTTTTTAAATAGAAAAAAACCACTGTGAATAGAAATAGTCACTGTGCCAAAGGGACTGAAAACATAAATAAATAGGTTAGAGAAGGTATGATCAAGATCAGGAGACTGAATGGACAGGAGACAGGTAAGAAAAGCTGAGATGAGAAACTTCTGTGGTATGAGAAGAGAGTTTGCAGGAGAGGAATGGGAAAGGAAATAAATAGGCTGGGCTGGTGGAGGAAGATCACAGAGGATTTCATCAGTTTTCCTTAAAAACCTGAGTACCAGGCCAAAACCACATTTTATCCCCATTTTTTTTTTTGGCAAATACTAGTTCATTTATACACTTACATGAAGATTCTTCAAGTTCTTGAAATCTCCTTCTTTAATTTCAGTGATTTTGTTGTTCTGTAAGTCCAGCAGAGTTGTGTCAGGAGGAAGGTCTTTCGGCACTTTTTCCAGACCTAGGGACAGTGAAAAGAATAAATAATTGACTTTGAAAGAAACTTTAAATAAGGGTCAGAACTTTTCTTAGCAGAATTTACCTTTCAGGAAACACCGTTTCTAGAATTCATTTCCTGAATAAGCTTATGAAGACTTATCTGAAAGTATTTCTGTCTCCAGCCAGTCAAAGGGAGTTTTGTTGTGCTATGTCAAATCAAAATTTATTTATTCACATTTCCATTATGCCCTTTTATGAGAATACATCTGAGTTATATCTTGAAGCAAAGGATTGAGTTTGAGAAAATTATTTCTAACATGTTTAATTCAACTGAATTGTGTGAATAAAAATTGCTTTCAGAAAGAGGTATGGTATTTATTAATTTCACTGTGTGTTAGCTTTTGTGGACAGAGAACACTTCCTGCTATTTAAAAGGTAGTAGGCTTTTCTGAAAGAAGTACGATAGTTAATTATAATCATTTCCAGAAAAAATACTTTTTCTTTGACAGTAACTGAATAACTTGCAGTAAAGTCCACCTTAAAAAAAACCAATCCACCTCCCCCTTTTTCTTTCATCTAAAACTATGTCCAAGTTTTCTGGAGAACAAATCTCTTGGTTTCACTACAACTGCCAAAAGAACATCAGACAGTTTAAATTAAAGACTCTCTTTGGGACTATTTTCTGAATAGCTGATATGTAAGTCCGATGAAGTAATGGAAATGAAATTATTTAGTGTTAAATAACACTTGCTTTACCCGGCTTTCCTTTCATACTGTGACTTGGAATAGAGCAGATCTTTTATAGTCATTCTGATTTACCACAAAATTAAGATGTTCTTTCCTAACTAGGTTGGGTTTGGTTGGCTTTTTTTTTAACAGAATGTGAGATGCTAAATTAATGGTTGGTAGGAAAAAATTATAAACACTAATGAAGTCTCTATATGGGCATCTAACAGAAGTGGACTTCTCTGGACAGAACAGTATTTTTACCAGAAAATTTTTTAACAAATACAGATGAAGTTATATTTGAACTCTCCTGGGAAAGATGTCTCTGCAGTGTCTCCCCAGTATGATGGTGGACTGCATGATATTGTTCTCAGATGAAAGATATATACATATATTATTATCTTTTTAAACCTATATATTTTAAACTCAAGCATGACATTGCAAACGCAGTGACATATGCTTGCCCAGAGAGAAGATATGCTTTGCCAACAATGGTTGTGGGGAGTCTCCATCCTTGGAGATATTCCAAAGTTGACAGGATAGCCCTAAGAAACTTGATCTGACTGACCTTTCTCTAGCAGGGGGTGGACTAGACAATCTCAGGAGGTGACTTCCAAACTCAACAATTCTGTGATTCTGTAATGTTTAATGTTCATCACAAATGTAAGTGTTTTCACACCTGGAATGTAGGTTTCTTTGTCAAAATCCAATGTTAAGCAAAACCCCTTGTCTTTCAACCCTTTTTAGAATATAAATGTATATGCAGATTAAAAAAAAAAAAAGGTTGGCTTTTATTTTGCAAGTATTACAGCAAACCATGAAAAGAAGTACATGTTTGGTACTAGATTTAATCCTTTTAATGTACATAAAGAGCACCATTCCATAGTTACTACTACAAAACTTTACCATAAACTCTAGAAAGGTCACAGTAATGTGTACTGGAGCTTTATACTACACCTAGTGACACACTAAGAATTAATTCTAGATATGGCCATATTCTTAAAAATATTTGCATGCAGATGAGTCCTCCAATTCATTCTTAGGTGTCTGGTCTGAATCTTCCAAAGTGTTGAGCATCTCACAGATCCCACTGGTGGCTGTTACTGCTGTTTGGTGCTTAGCAAATTCTGGAAACAAGATTGCGTTTTTATTTACCTATATATGAGTGTAGGAGATCTAAACTTTTAAAAAGTCTTTGCTTCTTTTAATCTTACTTTTGAATTTGTAATATTAGTCTGTGTAGAAGATATTCTGTTGTCTTACCTTTAAAAAAGGTTGGTTTCTGACTTTAAAAAACATTCTATCCATTCTTTTAAATCTATTTTTCCACCCATAAGTTCTCTAACATTAGCTAAAACATTATTAAAATATTTGCATCTGATATTTATTAAAACTGCGTACATTACAGATTAACCTGGCTGAGTTTTACTCACATCAGGATCCAAAAATTTTAAAAAGCACAATCATCCAGCCTGGGATGAATTAGTAAAAGCTTCTACATAAAATTACAATAGCCAAAGATCACATCTCAACCTGTTTACCTCACTGATGATCAGTGCATGAACATATATGATACAGATTAAGATTCTTCATATTACTAAAATAACCTTTCCTCATTCAGTCATGGACTTCATCTTTACTGAAGGCAGTTGCAAAACCCTCATTACTTTCAGAAGTGTAGGACTAGAGTTCCAAATATACAAAAATGCGATACCGTATAATTTGTATGTTGGTTGTCTTTGGACAGTTTCTGTCCTCAGCAGACAGGAATGATGTCAGCAACCAAAAATTCTTTCCCCAAAAGCACTACTTTTTCAAGGTCATAATTTTCTTATAGAAGTTGTTACAGTCTAGCAACTTTTATAGCATTTTTCACATATAAATACAAAAAAAGTTTTAATTATTTGCATTCAAAGTACTATGTTCTGGTTGTCAGTACATTAGTAGACTGGTATCTGCAAATAAGTGCTTATGGCAGAAACTAGGGCCCATAAGAGCTATACAGCTGTCCTTTGTGTGATGCCCTTGGACCATACTTTGTAAGAACACTTGGATTGCCACTGAAGGGATAATTTGCCAGAGACTAAACTTCATACTAGCTTTCCAACCATACATGTTGGCTTCACATGTCAGCTTCTAAAAGCTCAAGTGTTATCCCTGAATAAGATAGAACTGATAATTTCTAGGAGCAATGAAGTTAAACTTTAAATGTTTTATAATGATAAGACAAACTTAATAATCAGATATCCATTTGTGAAGAGTGACTTATAAAAGCTTCTTATCTTGTACTAGAAACTAGAAGGATGTGCAATGCAATAATTAGCTTTGCATGCAAATAATATGATTTCCATGCCATAAAGTTTAAACTTGCTTTATTACCTATCTCATGTATACTCTTTTATGCATTTCCTGAAGTTGCTTTTGAAAATGTTTCAGAAAACAGCTATAAAAATTGTATATTTTTTTTCTGGACTTGTCTGAGTTTTGAAGAGCAAAGCGCAGAGGAGTATAGGATGCACCCTTGGCACTGGAGAGACACTGAGTTAACATTAAGCACTTTAGGACATCCTCCAGCTGAAAGCTACATCAGCTGGAGCTCTCCAGTGGAGGAAGAGTTTATAAATGTGTGGATCTAGACACTGCCTTGTAAAATCAGCAGCTAAATAATTCAGGACTAAACTTGTCTGAGGTGTGGCCTGGATTCAAGTGTTTCACCACTTGTCACATCTACATTGGCTGCAAGAACTGTGCTTCATCTTGCATTTCCAGGTTTCTATATAGGTCCCCAGTTAGATACATGTAGGAGGAGCATTAGTGCAGTGCAAATTAGTCCCTGCGCTGGAGATTTCCTGCCTGGAGAGCAAACCTTCAAACCTCTCTGGTCAGGACAGGTCAATAGACAGCCAGTTCAGATGAATGGGGGAGCCTGAACTACCTTGACAGCATGGCAGAATTTGAACCAAATAGAGAAAATCATAATCCCACTAGAAGCTGAAATGGCTCTTGGCTCTTAGGTTAGAATTAATATTTCCCAGGAGGATTTTCTGACTCCTCTGTCCGGGAAACTGAGATGTTTAGAGAGGAACTGTGGGCTGTCCTTACTACTAATTTCTGAGAAACTCAAATGAAGCCATGTTGTACAGTATGACTGCATGTCCACCTACAAATGAAAGTAGTGTGAAATTTATGTAATACCAACCGAAAGGGGAACTGGTGTTGGAAAATGTCAATTGAGTCACCTCTCAATCATTTTAAGAACCGTTGACACAAGTATTACAGCTCTTGCCTGTGATTTCTTTATACATTAAAGCTTACTTCTTAAAAAGCCATATGAAAACTTCTTATTGCAGTCTGACTTTTTAGGTGAATAATCAGTGCTATACAGTTTGGTATTCAGTCCCCTGAAATATTTCATGCTGCTGGTTCCTAAGATTAACTTATAACTTATTAAATATTTAGATTTTTCTGCCTTTCCCACTGTATGTTAAATTGAAAATACATGATGTCTTTATTTATTTTGGTTGAACAAAACGAAGTCGGTCATTATTTAAGTTGGTAAATACATTTTTAAAAATACTACTTATTCACAAATAAGTAGAAATGGTATAGTTGCCTTCCAAAATCCTTGTTTATGCTGAAATTAAGAGCCTAAGGATTCTGGAAATATCAGGAATTTAATAAACCGGTTCATGTACCATGAAGTCATAAAGACCATTTTGATTTGCACTAAAATATTTCTTTGGGAGAAATCATGACTTATAAAAGCTCAGGAGCCACCAGTTCCTGCAGCACAGATCAGATCTATATTATTCTCTGCAGATTTCTATAAGCAGAAATTTTCTTCCGTTCTACATTATCAACCTGTAGCACTCAACTATTCCCACCAGTGTGCAGGTATGTGTGTAAAAATGCATGCATACAAAAACAGGTAAAGAACAGAATATGACACAGAACTACAAAATAGGAAAAAAAAAATGTAAGTAAGCTTGAAATTTTTTTGTTGTTGTTAGTCAGGATCAGCTGAACTTTTATTATCCCTGGCAGAAGTTTTCCTAACTTTTTCTTACACTACACACAGCACAGATTTTTTGAGTAACAAACACAATCAAAATATATTCATCAAAATCCAGAAGAGCTGGATCATCAACGGGTTTCTTTCATGCAGATAACAAGGGCCCACACTCACATTTGGAAGCACTGAAAGGCTCATTGACAGTCACATAGAAGATGCTTGGTAGGGGGAGGTAAACAGGACCTGGAATCCCTCCTTAGCTGGAGGATGGAGAAGAAGGTAAC